CAAGAACTAGGACTCTCCGGTTAATGCGCCCGCCGCTTATTAAGCCCGATTTCGTCTGGGCCCGAGGTGGGCCTAATAGCCGGCGACTACTGTAGTAAGTAAAAGGCAGAAGGCATCTATGAAAGAGTTTTATTGTCTACAGAACTCCCAGGCGGCAGTGGCTACTGGCAAAGCCAGGGCTTGTGTTGTCCACGTCTAGCCAGGCCTGAGGGAGCATGAGACAGTTGTTTAAATAGAATTGTGGAGCAGGTTCAAGTATTCTCCAATTGGTACGTGTGATGGTGCCCGAGGGGTGTCGTGTCTGGTAGCGTAAGCTGTGTCGGCCGAGCGTGGGAGAAAGGGGTGTGTTCAAGGTGGGCTTAGGCAGCCGCGACTAACTGGATGCACGTGTGTGTCCGAGTGGAAGTCAGTCGAGTCGCTGCAGTTCAGCGCGTCTGAAAGCGCTCATTTTGATAGTGGATGACCTTGAGGCAGCTGACCTTGAACAGGGACGCCGGACACAGCAATGTTGAGCGTCGGCTACTCGGCAGTTCTACTCGTTATCGTTGGAAGTGTTGTTCGCCCGCGCCCTCCCCTAACCAGGCAAAGTCTCAGCGTAGAACATGGAGGTGGGAGCTCATTGTGGTTGATGGTACCTCCTTTTTTACCATCTCCTACGATTGAGACGATGAATGAGATGTCTCAGTGGTCTTTCCTTCGTGCAGTTTTCTAAGACAGGGTCATGCAGATCGGGCTGAGGTTTAAATAATCCTTTTTCTTCAGCAGTTTCTATTCCACCTTCTGAGTACAAGACAGTCTCAGTTAACAAATTTAATCCATTCCAGCACAGAGCTCATCTTTTGAAAAGTAACCAATCAAACTGCATCAGTTCACTGATTGGCCTCAGGCGACCGAGTACCCACGCCCTGAGCGCAAAACTCAACGGTGCACACACGTTCCGACAACTATTTAACTGAGCGGAAGCGGTATTAGTAACCTGTGGTTGTAACCCTGCAGTAGTAACAGTAGAATAAGTAGTGGTATTAGTAGTAGCAGTAGTAGCGCATTAGTAGAAGT